AGTTCTGAAAAGCTCCCGGAGGATCTTTATCTGGACTCATTTGACAGCTGGAGTGCTGTAGTGCGTTCCTACCCACCGGTATAGCGTGCGTGTACAACGTCGCTTGTGCTGAATCGTGTGATTTCTGCTGGTTGTGCCCGCACTCTTCAGTCTCATTTTCTGCCATGCTGATAGCTATATACCGTGGTGAGCGTTCCGGGATCCACATCAACTACAGAACGGACATGCGTCTTCTCAACATCCGATGTATGCAGGCCTCCACGCGCGTTTGCAAGACCACAGATAATGACCAGCTTTTCGAAGATGGCTACGCTCTCAACACCACAACAGAAGCGGATACGCGAAGGGTTGTGTAGGTCTTTGATGTTGGCTACACGATTTTCGGTCTTGCCATCAACAGGATAAAGTTGTGATCTTAAATCAACCGCCTCCTGATGATAATTACAATGCTTCATGTATTAACGTAAACGGTGCCGAGCTCGAAAAAGGGCAAATTTCGCTTATCTTGGCAGCACGCCATCCCGCAAAACCAAAATCATCGACGAGGTTGCTTGCTGGATTTCCAAAGCCAGCCATTTCTTTAGTCGGCTGCAAGCCCCCATGTCAAATCTTCGTGGCCTCGAGCTGTCCACGAACCGGAAGATGTACCAGGCCTTCGTCCTCCCAGCGCTCCTGTACGGAGCGGAGACTTGGACGGTCTACGCCAACCAAGTTTGGAAACTAAACCACTTCCACCTGAACTGTCTCCGCAGAATACTGGAGTTGAGATAGCAGGACAGGATCGTGGACATGGAAGTCCTAGAGTGGACAGGATATCTCAGGATCTAGGTCATGTCGAGGCAGCTACAGCTACGCTGGAGCGGCCACCTGGTACGTATGGACGATCAACGACTACCCAGGCGATTTTTTTATGGTGATGTCGCTGTGAGTACTGGCCGCAAAGGAGGACAAAAGCGGCGCTTCAAGGACGCCCATTAGAACTCACTGAGGCGTCCTCATATCAACACGGCGACCAGGGAGGAACCCGCACTAAATCGGT